TGGGAAGATAATAAATTTTACAAATAAATAAATAAATAAAACAGCATAATGATTTAAAAAAAAAAAAAAAAGCCTCTGTAGCAAACTTACGTGTCCAGCATGGCTGGGTCAGCAAAAACAGAGAACAGGTCTTTATCTTGCAGGACCCCTGTGAGATAAAGAGAGCGAGATCACTAATGAGCAAATGGCAGATAATATTATACCTACTGAAAAATAAGGAAGCTGAAAAACCAAACCATCCTCTCTGGAGTTGAAGATAAGACCTGATTAAAAGACTGACCTTTCCTGCTACTCCTTTTTCTTCCCATCTTTAGGATGCACAGGTGAGGTTTTAATGTTCATTGTTTTCATTTTTATTTTTGGGGGTTTTTTTCTTCGTCTCATCTCATACAATTCTGCAAGGCTCTTTTAGAAATCCAACTTAGGAAAGTTATCCAAGTCGCTCTCTTGATGGTGTGTACTCATAATTCTCATGAAGAAAGCTTCAGCATTTGGCCGAGGTGTTACAACTCAGCTCTAACACCCCAGACTACAATCTAACCCACTTTTGGATCTACGACTCACCCAAAGCGATCGGATCACCGCTGAGGCCTGGGGTAGCGACAATGATCTGATCCAGAGACTCCTTATTGCCCAGCATCTTGAAAACCTGCGTGGAAAACCCAGGGAGATTCAGCTAGGCCAGAGGTCCCCAACCTTTTGGCCATCAGGACCGATTACGTAGAGAGAAATTTTTCCACACACCAGAGGGTGCATGATTTTGTGTGCTGCCTGCATCCTGCAAATGGGGCTTTGCTTGTTTGTGTGGACTGGTTGCTGGCACCGGGGGTTGGAGACCCCTGAGCTAGGCCACGCTAGGAAACAACAGACTGGACCTCGGACCCCCGGGAAGCCAAATAAAAAGCACAGAAAGAAGAGCAGAGTTTTGAGGCTCACCGAATCTCTGAAGACAGGGCTGCTGTGCAGCGCGGTGTGTAAGACGCGGAACTCCCGCACGGCGGCCATTTTATCCACTGGCTCTGTGGAAGAGACAAGCCAGCAGAGATGGCCATGGTAACTCTCGAAAAAGCAACATGGAACAAACCTTCGCAGAACTGGATTGCCAGGGATTCCACCATCGGAAGAAGTACAAATGTAATACAGGCAGTTCTCGTTTGAACGACCGGTGGCTTAGCAACCATCCAAAGTTATGACAGATACCCCCCCCCAAAAGCATACTTACCCTCCCAGTTCCAGAATTCCAACTGGCCACAATCATATTTTGGGCGCCTAGCAAACATTTGCCGCATCCTGCTATTATTGGGTCTGTGATTTTTTTTTTTAAGCTGTTTCTGCTCTTTGCTTCCAATTTTCCATCAAAAAAAACGCCCATGGTGTATAACGGATTTGCTTAATAGTTGCCATGTTCCTCAACCACTGTGGCATTCGCTTAACGACCATCTTCCCCCAAAAGTTGTAAAATTGGGTGCGGTTGCCTGGGAACCTGCTTGACGACTGACACATTTTACGACCATAATTCCAGACTCAATTATGTTTGTACATCGTACTGCTAAAACTGACCTGCTGTCCAGATTCCAGGCGACGTGAGATTCTCTGTGGTTATAAGCATGCACGTGGCTACCCAGCCTCTCTTAAAAACCTGTTTGGGTTGTGGGTTCCCGATGCAGCAACGAACTCACTGTTCCTAAGATTGTCGCCATTTCAACGCTTGGCTTTTTTTTTTTTTTGCGCCAATAAAGGAATAACAGAGCAAGCGAGAAGCAGCTTCAGATTCAAAGCGGAGAACTTACCGGGTTTCTGTTCCGGTTCGGGCCAGGATTTTCGGAGAACGTGGATGGTGGAGCCAGATTGAATCCCGTAGAATTCAAGGGTTTGATCGTCCCGCAGTTTACGCCCGCAATAGATCAGATCTGAAAGGCAGCCAAGACTTATATTGAACACCCCACCAAATCTGGCTGACCACACACTTGATGGATCCTAGTTCAGGGGTAGGCAACCTCGGCTCTTTTATGACTCAGAGAATTTTGGGAGTTGAAGTCCATGAGTCATAAAATAGCCGAGGTTGCCTACCCCTGTCCTAGTCACAAACACTCCCCGTGTTTAATAAGGCCAGTAAAAAGATTTAGAACGGAGTAAAAGAGCATTAGAGATAATCCTTGACATACATTCGTTTAGTGACCATTGGAAGTTACAAACAGCCTGAAAAAAGCGACTTATGTCCATTTTTCACACTTATGACCGTGGCAGCATCCCCGTGGTCACATGATCAAAATCCGGTCACTTCAAGACTGACTCATATTTACGACGGTTGCGTTGTCCCTGGGGGATGTCGTGTGATCCCCTTTTGCAACCTTTTGACAAGCCAAGTCCATGGGGAAGCCACTTAACAACTGTGTTATCAACAACTGAAGTGATTCATTTAACAACGGTGGCAAAAAAATAAAATAAAACTCACAACAATTGTCCTGCTTAGCAGCAGAAATGTTGGGTTCAATTGCGGTCGTTAAGTCAAGGATTACTTATATTTGACATCATTGCATCTCCGGTTTGATCCAAGGCCCAAATTTAAAAAAAATAAAAAAAATCAAGGAGCTGTCTGGAGGATTCTGGGAGTTGAAGTCCATGCATCTTAATGGCCTATCACTCTTTCCCAGGGCCATCAAGCTCAGCCTGGGAGAGCCACCTGGATCTCTGATCAAACCACGTTGTACCAGCTTACCGATGAACTCTGGGTCAGGGATGGACTCCTGTAACTTTCCCGTAATGAGCTGTTTCAGGTACGAGATGCTGCAACCCCCCAGCGGGCATTCGCCCAGCTCGCTTTCCGGCAGACGCAAGATGGATTTGGGAGCCAGGGGTTGGTCAGCTAGCTTCACCGCGATGTAACACTCCGAGAGAGACATGGTGGTGCTGGGGTGATTCGATTCTCCGAGGTCCCAATCTGAACTCCAAGCAGAATCTGGAAAAGAAACTGTGTCAGAAACAAGAGCACCCTTCCATCCATCCATCTTCCATCTGTCTATCTATCATCTATACACAGCATCCATCCATCTTCTATCTTATCTTATCTACCTATCTACAGCATCCATCCATCTACATTATTCATCTTCTATCGCAGTGGTTCTCAACCTTTTTAATGCCGCGACCTCCAACCGGTCGTAAGTCGAGGACTACTCAACTGGTGCAGCACCATTTGCAGAATGGGACTTTTGGCGGGCTCAGCAGGGCAGAGACAGCCTGGACAATTCCTATTGGCTTTTGAAAGCCAATAGAATTAGACTCTATTCAAGAGTCTATTCTATTGGCTTTCAAAAGCCAATAGAATAAAAGGGAGGAGCACAGCTAAGGAAAAGGAAAAAAATGGCGGACTGCGTTGTTTGGCGACCTCCGTGAAATGGTCGTTCGACCCCAAATGGGGTCCCGACCCACAGGTTGAGAACCACTGATCTATACACAGCATCCATCCATCCATCCATCTTCTATCTTATCTTATCTATCTATCTACAGCATCCATCCATCTACATTATTCATCTTCTATCATTTATCTATCAATTGATCAATATATAGCATCTATCTATCTATCCATCTATCCCTTTCCATCCATCTATCCCATCAATCCATCCATCTATCCCTTTCCATCCACCCATCTACACCATCCATCTTCCATCTACTTATCTGTCATCTATACACAGCATCCATCCATATTTATCATCTAAATATCAATTGATCAATCAATCTATAGCACCCATCAGCTATCTATCATCTATTTACAGCATCCATTAATCTACAACATCCATCTATCTTATCATGGTAAATTTCTTTCGAACTCTGGCTGTGTGTGTATGTGTGTGTAGTGCCATCTCTCTCCCACCTAAAACTAGCGCCAATGCATTCATTATTAGTCCTGCTTCTGCCAACTCCAAAGGGAGCTAGTTGGGACGCGCTGGCCTACCTCGCAGGGTTGTTATGAGGATAGCAATTAATGGAGGTGGGGGTGGGGAGTGGGTGGAGACCCCACTGAAGCCTGGGAAGAGGATCGGAGTAAACCATGCAGGAAAATAAGAGTTAAACCAAAGATAGGCCTTGGGTCTCCCTCCCCCACCCCAAATAAAGCCACACTCATCAGCTCTACCCATTGGGCAGTACTGCATCCCTTCTGACAGTGGCCCAGGCGAGTAACGACCCCGCTGAGGTTCACTGCTATGCTTTCTGGGAGAAAAAAAAGGGGGAGGGAGAGGGGACCCCCCCCAAAAAGACCCTCCATACCACCCCAACCCGGCCCCTCCCCCATTAAGACCCTTTATTCCTCCTTACCTGGATGTTTACGACCAGCCGGCGGCTCCAACCGGAAACGCTTGCCCGAGCCCGCGCGAGGCATGCCGGGGATTGTAGGCGGCCGCAACGAGCGCTCACATTCCCTGCTGAGCCAAGCCGCGCCGAGTGGAAAAGAAGAGTCCGCCCGCGAGGCAGCGGCGAACGGCAGCGGAAGCTCCGCCCTCCGCATCAAGGGATGCTGGGAACTGCAGTCCTGAGGGAGGCGGGGCTTGGGAGTCGAGGCGGGCGCGTTTGTGACGCCCCGGCCTTCCGCGTCCTCGCCAATCGAGAAAGAGAGGGCGGGAGGAGGCGGCCAATGGGCGCGCGGGATTCAGGGGCGCGCGGGATTCAAAAGTGCTAGCGCCGGCAAGGGGCATCCTTTGCGATAGTATGCGTGTATTTCACGCAAGAGACTGTGTGAAAGGTTTGCACCCTTTGGAGGCAAGGGGCGTGCAGCCTTTTATTCCCTGTGCAGTAGGACTACACAGCCCATGTGGGATGGGAGAGGCCCTTTCCTTTTACTGTCATTAATTTTAAAAAAACAGCCAGTTTTACTGATATTGACAGCCGGTAGAAACAAACCAAGTCGTAAAGAATATATCCAAGTCTGTAGACTCTTCCAGTAATTTTTTTTTAATCATACAAGTTTTACAAAGATACTTTAAGATTGTTCTCCTGGAGGATCATGAAGCAATTATTCATTTGTTAAAATTTATAGGATTGTCCAACTCACACGCTGTGGCTCCTGGAGGCTTAAAAATATTAAAAATCCACAGTACAAAAACCCGTATCTGGCACACAACCATGCCAAATTTGTAGAGGCAAGAAAGGCCCAATTTGTCATCTCCAGTCAAAAATCTTTCTTTAGTTTTCTTTTCTTTAAAAAAAAAAAATAGCATTGGTGACAAATAACCACCAGAAAATAGGGTGAAGAAGAACTATAAATATAACAGGACTATTAAAATCAGAAAAGAATATACAAAGTAGTAATTAAATGAGAGGCGTTCGAGGAAGCAAAAAGATATATCCATAAAACTCAATCCATTTATTAACAGCTAAATTTATTTATTTATTTATACCATCTATCACTCCATTTTCTCCATTTTGGTATGTTTTTTCAATGCAATGTTGATAGCATATAATTAGATTCCTAATAATAGGGTACTAACTAATAAGGTGCCTTAGAGAACTGAATATAGATAAGAGAGAAAAAGTAGATATTCCAGCAATATCAATTACAGATTCAGATACTGATCTTACAAGTAGGATGATTATTCTTTTTTTAAAAAAAAGTTTCCATCCTTTGTGCCTTAGGATTAATAGAGTCAATATGCCAAATGAATTACAAACTGGGACCGCTTAGAACAGGCACGTCAAAACTGCGACATCACGTGACGTATCGCGGCTTCCCCCCCCCCATTGCTGGCAGTGGGGTAGGCGTGGTTTTGATGTGATGCATCCGGCCTGTGGGCCGGCAGTTTGACATGCCTGGCTTAAAACAACCATTCCCTTTCAGGTTGCCAATTCTATAAAAAAAGGCCAGGCATGGAATGGTATAGAGCAGTGGTGGTGAACCTATGGCACGGGTGCCAGAGGCGGCACTCAGAGCCTTCTCTGTGGGCACACGCACCGTCGCCCCAGTCCTAGGCCTTCAGCTGGGTTTTATAAACCCTTTTTGCTTTAGGCCTCCGCCGCCGTGTGCAAAAAAAAAACGGTTCAATCAATCAGTCATTAACTTCTCGTGGGAAAAAAACTCTTGCAAAGTTGGAATTGATTGAACTTTTTAGTCCCACCCAGTCTGCCATTACCACCGCAGCCATGCCCACCCAATGGGCCACGCCCAGCCAATGGGCCACGCCCACCCGGCACCCGACGATGCATAAGTGGGTTTTGGGTTGCAGTTTGGGCACTCAGTCTCTAAAAGGTTCGCCATCACTGGTATAGGGCAGCGATGGCAAACTTTTTAGAGTCAGAGTGCCCAAACTGCAACCCAAAACCCACTTATGTATCATTGTGTGCCGGATGGGCATGGCCCATTAGGTGGGCGTGGCTGCGGTGGTAACGGCAGACTGGGTGGGACTAAAAAAATTCAATCAATCAATTCCAACTTTGCGAGATCTTTTTTTTTCCCCGCAGATCTTTTTTTTCCCGCCAGAAGTTGAAATTGATTGATTTAACCTTTTTTTTTTTTTTGCATACGGTGGCGGAGGCCTAAAGCAAAAAGGTTTTATAAAACCCAGCTGAAGGCCTAGAACTGGGGCGACGGCGCGCGTGCCCACAGAGAGGGCTCTGAGTGCCACCTGTGGCATGTATGCCATAGGTTTGCCACCACTGGTATAGGGTTTCCTGCCTGCGCAGGGGGTTGGACTAGATGACCTCCAAGGTCCCTTCCAACTCTGTTATTCTGCTTCTAATACCACTTCGACATGTGGATAGTGAACGGAAGCAGCAAAAAAAAACCCCCAAACCCTCAAAAGCACTTCCGGTGTACAATAGCTGGGCCAAATTCCTCATACTCCTGTTTGCTGATGCACATATGCTGAAAGTAAGAAAGAGAAGCTAAGAGGGATCCCCCAATCCATGCTGAGCAGGTGCGATTTGAGGGGGCAAAGATCTTGACCTCTGTATTTTGGGCAGCCAGTGCCACCACCTCCGGCTGCAACCTTTCAGCAAAGCCAGGGAACATGGAGGTGCCACCTGCCAGCACGACATTTTTAAACATTGTGCCGCGGAGGTCCCGGTCACATTTCATGATGGCACAAAAGAGATTGTCCTGGACGCCACCATATATTTTACCCATGTGTTCGACTCGGAAGAGGCCTTCGGGGCACCTGAAACGCTCGGTGCCGATGGTGATCACTTGCCCGTCGGGTAGCTCATACTGCTTCTCCAAAGAGGCGGGCGTACCGGCGGCCATTTCTTTCTCAAAATCCAGGGCTACGTAGCAAAACTTCTCCTTGATGTCCTCCACCGTCTCCCTCTCTTCTGGTTGGATGTGGTAGCCTCTTTCCTTCAGCATCTGCAGGAGGAAGTCGGTCAGGTCTTCGCCGGAGAGGTCCGCACGGAAGAAAGCTCGGTGGATCGCCTGGCCGTCGTAGACGGGGACGGGATCCATCCGGTTGTTCTTTATATCCACAACTACTCCAGTGGTGCGGCCGGAAGCAAAGAGAGAGAGAACGGCTTGGATGGCCAGGTAGAAGGCGGACGTATTGAAGCTCTCAAACATAATCTGGGTCATCTTCTCCCGGTCGCTTCTAATGTTCACGGGGCGATCAGACAGCAAGACTGGACGGTCCTCTGGAGCCACCCGCAACTCGTTGTAGAAAATGTGGTGCCAGATTTTCTCCATGTCATCCCAGTTGGTAATAAAGCCATTTTCAATGGGGTACTTCAAGGTCAGGGTGTCTCTCCTGCTCTGAGCATCGCTTCCCACATAATAGGCCTGTCCGGTGGCGTCTTCCACTGCACTCTGCTGCTTGGGCCTCCCTATGACGGGAGGAAGTACTGTTCGGGGCAGGTCCTCTCCTGCAAACCCTGCTCTGCAGTTCCTAGTGCTGTTGTCCACCACAAGGGCTGTAATCTCTTGGTTGGCCATCAGTAGGGAAACCTAGGAGAGAACCATGCAGAGACATTAAGGATACACTTACTATTTCTATGGGCTCTGTGTCCTGCAAAGTCGGTACAAAAGGGGTCCTTGGTGCTCTCTGAGCTTGGCTGATTTCCTGCAGACGTTTCATTACCCCACTAGGTAGTGTCATCCATGCCAGAAGGGAGGGGCGTTTACTTGTTTTTCATTTTTGTAATTGTTTGATGTTTGCTTATATAATACACAGCACCACACATGATTGGACTGTGGGGTTTTTTTTTTTTAAATGAATATATACAGAATTGTTTCTCTTTTGTTTGGAGGGGCGGGTCAGTGACATGCTAGCCGAGGCAAGTTAAGGCATTTTCCAAATTTTTGACATGACAAGCCAAAAAGTTGACCTAAAGCAGTGGTTCTCAACCTGTGGGTCGGGACCCCATTTGGGGTCGAACGACCATTTCACGGGAGTTGCCAAACAACGCAGTCCGCCATTTTTTCCCCCTTTTCCTTAGCTGAGCTACTCCCTTTTATTCTATTGGCTTTTGAAAGCCAATAGAATAGACTCTCTTGAAGAGAGTCTAATTCTATTGGCTTTCAAAAGCCAATAGGAATTGTCCAGGCTGTCTCTGCCCTGCTGAGCCCGCCAAAAGTCCCATTCTGCAAATGGTGCTGCACCAGTTGAGTAGTCCTCGACTTATGACCGGTTGAGTAGTCCTCGACTTACGACCGGTTGGGGGTCACGGCATTAAAAAGGTTGAGACCCACTGACCTAAAGTAACCTGTCTCTTTTTGTACCGTTCCGGTTTCCATGTTCAAATGAGAAAAAAAAAAAAGACAGAGTTAAGAGCTGAGTAACTTGCACTTTTAGGAGACAAGGGCTGGAAGAAATGGATTTAACTGACTTTGACTTAGTACAGTCGTAGCCAGGTTCCAACTGAACATGCAATTCCTGAATACCTTTTCTGCAGCAGCCCAAAACATATGCTAAAGTTCAGTGACATTGTGTCTGATGATTTTGGTAAGGAATATACAAATTAGGGCTGGAGGGCCATTAAAAAGAGCTTCCTAAACCACCTCCTATTTTAGGGGAGCATTAGTTGGACTACGAGATCTTCCCAAGCTTCATTCAGTTTTCATTTTGGTCTGGTCCTGTTTTGGCTCTGCATCCCTTCTTACTTGCTCTTCATTCCTTCGTTCCATATTCCTGTTTCTAGCCCATTCTAGATGCTGTTCACAAGAGCAGGATTCAAACCTAGAACTTTTTGAATGTAGAGGGGATGTTCTACCACCAAGCCAGCAGCTTTTGAGCTAGCTTTGAAGAGAAATTATAATTTCTTGGTCTTTCCATCTAACATCCTGTTACAACTCAGCTTCTCTTAATCCGCAACTGCATTCAAACCAATAGGGGCACAACATTTAGGGAGAGTGATGGTTTAAATCAAGTCTATACTTACCCCAAGACAGGGTGGTTAACTTGGCAATTAATTCCACAATTGTCTCAGCAAGGATCAAATCCTTTCCTTTCCTTTGATTTTCCCCCACTGGTATTTATCAGTTTCCTGCTCGTTTTGCCCTTTGATCCTATACTTGACTTATCTGTGAACAAATGTGAATATAGGTTGCTTGTGCAATAAGTAAATATCATTAAAACATAGCTATTCTGTAAGGAGGAAAACTGCAGTATAACCAAATAAGGCTAAACAGGAGCATTTATGAGCAATATATCTTTGGATGTATTCCAAAAATCCTTCTGTGTATATTTCAAGAACATTTCCTGGTGCTTACTCAGTTTCAGAGAGTGCTATAATGTAAACCATGGGATGTCATGAAGATTTAGATGTCATAGAAATATATATATATATATATATATATATATATATATATATATATATATATATATATATATATATATATATATGTTTTCTGAGGTTTTCGCTGGTATTTGTATATAGGTCTTTGGTTGTTCGGGTTTTCTCCCGCGTAAAATTGGAAGTGTCTTGGCAACGTTTCGACGAAGTCACATTCGTCATCTTCAGGCTGGTGTTTTTAGCTTCTTGCTTTGAGCAGCAATGTGTGGTTTTAGCTGTTTCTTCCTTTTAACTGCCAGTGAGGGTATGAACTTCGTCGAAACGTTGCCAAGACACTTCCAATTTTACGCGGGAGAAAACCCGAACAACCAAAGACCTATATACAAATACCCGCGAAAACCTCAGAAAACATATATATATATATATATATATAGTGGATTGCATAAGATTAATTTCCTTGCAGGCATAAATAAAACATTTATTAAAATCAAGTGTTTGCAGTTTCTCGAAAACAGGGAGGGAGGGAGGGAGGGAGGGAAGGAAAGAAAGAAAGAAAGGAAAGAAGGAAGGATACAGCAGGCAGGAAAATAAATTTTCAACAACATGCTAAACCATTGCTTTAAAATTAAATCACATAATAATCCTACTCTTCCTTCCTTTGTTCTGATAATCCAATTCCTTCCTAAACCCTTGCCTTTTGCTTTTCTCTGAATTCAACTTTCTCATGGTCTGTTGACCTAATGGATCAACATCAACTAGTATTGTGGGCCCAATTGGCAAGAGAAAGCTCAGGACCATATTGATTGGAAACAGGCGGAAGAGGCCTCCATGCTGCAGTAGATGGAGCATGGCTACAATCAGGCTGATGTTGATGATGGTGGTGATGGTTTGCAGCAAGCAACACAGCTTGTGTAAATATACTTTTTTTTTATTTTTTATTTTTGAAATTTTACAATAAAAACCCCTTCCCCAATCCCTCCCAACCCTCCCCAAAACCCTCCCCCATTCTTCCCAGAGCTGAATACAGGCTTAACTAGAACTTAAAAGAAAAAAAAATTAAACCCAAATAAACCTTAAACCAATATCATTACACTCGGTAAACAGATTATAACATACTTTAACTCCATTATAGTGTAAATATACTTTTGAGGCGACAAAGCAAAGCAAGATGGAATGAGTCAAGCCCAAGAGTGACATCTACCATCTGTTGTGAGAAGTCAACTTTGAAGACTATTCTCCACTGGTACTTGTTTCTCGGTCCTTTTGAGTACAAAATTTAATCAACCAGGCGATGCTATTTTCTATTATTTTCCTTACAGTATTAAATCCCACCGTTTGCAGTTGGGTTGACCCAATTATGCACAATTCAGGTGTTCTCCCCTTATCTGTGCAGGATGAATGGCTTTGTTTCCCTAACCTTTTTTCTCCCTCATCCTTTAAATATTTCCAATGTGTGTTTTATTCTATTTTTACAAGCTGATAAGATTGCAAATCATTTCAGCGGATTTGAAATCCAATTGCTCTGGAAAGCAATGCAACAATACATAAGACTAAACTATAATTTAAGAAATGTTGGACTGAATGCATTGGCTAAAAATACAACTGAGCATATGGTATTGTGGGAAGAATCCAGAGAAAGAAATATTTTGGGGAGCATTAGAAAGGCAGAATATATTTCCCCAAAGAAATAATGGAGATCTTCAAAAAAAAGACAGAAACCAGCCCCACTCCCCCCAAGCAGAAACTAGGCAGAAGCCAGCTTTTAGAAATGCAGATGTGATAATCCAGTGATGCCGAACCTTTTAGAGACTGAGTGCCCAAACTGCAACCCAAAACCCACTTATTTATCGCCAGGTGCCAGGTGGGCATGGCCTACTGGGTGGGTGTGGCTGTGATGGTCATGGCAGATTAGGTGAATGTTGCTCATGGGGAGGGATGCCTGGGGGTGGGCAGGGTTGAGGGAGATCCAGGGGGTCTCTGGTAGGTGGGGTGGTAGGCAGGAGGCTCGTCCTGTGGGGTGAGGCACAGCAGGGTGGGGTTGCCATTGCCATGAGGCAAGACAAGGGCCAGGCCAGCGAGCACATGGGGTCAACGGTGTCCCTCAACAACCACAGCCTGCCAGCCCTTTGACCAGCGCACTCTGGAGCTCCGCAGCCTGCCACCAGTTCAAAGAATCTGCCTCTGAGCTGGATGGCTGGCCAACAGCTGAGGAAGCAATGCAATGGGTCCAGCCAGGGAAAAGGAGAGCATGAAAGGCCAGGAGGGACGGGATGGGGGAGGGAGGGAAACCAGCCGTGCCGGTATACATCCAGCCACGTGGGACCTCAGCTAGTTAGCAGGCGGCTGGTTGAAGAGGGACAGTTGCCATCTCCGGGGCATGGCACGTGTGCCCACAGAGAGGGCTCTGAGTGCTGCCTCTGGCACACGTGCCATAGGTTCGCCACCAGTGTGATAATCCTTTCAGAAAGGTTGGAGCCAGGAATCTTGAAGCTGATGAGATTAGGAAGACAAAGACCCCTAAAATCTACATACACACCATCTGAATACACTCAGACTCCGGTCAAAGTACACAACACAAGAACTACAAAGTCTCAAACAGGAACAGGAAGCAACCTCAAAAGCCCCAGAAGGTATAAAAACCCACCACTCCCAGCAACATGTGATCAGCTTTCCCTGAGTCTCCTTTCTATGTCTTCACTTCAATAAACCACAACCTTCTTTCTAAAGCAGTCTCCATTTTGTTTATTCCCGGCTTGGACTGGACCCTGATGAAGACTTTTTTTTTCAACAGTATTTTTAAGCGAAGTCAAGGCGTTAAATTAAGTTTCCACCAAACTTGGGCACTTGGGCTGCTATGCGCATGCGCCATTGTCATGGCTTTCCCCTCCCCTTTTTTTTCACTCCCGATGTAATTGCAATATTCTCGCGCCAGGAGGCATTTATATTTCCTGCACGCTCCCATTGGCTGTCCACTGTGGAAGGCCCGCCCTTTTTTGGAACGGAAGAATACGGCGCTGCCTTTGCTCCACCCCTTTCTTTGGCCCGCCGCTTCGGGGTTGCTATGGTAACCGTTCAAAGAATGGTTTCCCTAGCGTTGCCCCTGCTGTGTTTTTTTGTTCTTTCCCCTCCCCTCGTTTTTTTCCTCCTAGTTCTGTCTCAGTTTAGTTCCTCCTACTCCGCAAACTAGAGAATAAACAACATCAAAATAACAACTATAAAATCCGACTTCCGGCCTGAACATTTTTTTTTTCCTCCACATGGAGGCAAACGACAACGTCGCTCTATCTTTGACATCTCTGTGGAAAAAGGGGCATCGAGGCAAGAAGAGATAGAGCGGCACCCCGTTCGCCCGTACAATTACAGCCCTATTAAAAAGGCCCAAGTAAAAACCACCCTCACAAAAGCCCCCCCCAAAACAGAACCGGAAGTGGCGGATGGGCCCGGGCCCGCCCGGTGACGCCTCTTCCGGCGCGTGGCCCATAGAGTCCCCCTCCTCCGGCCCCTCTTTCCGGCCCGGTGGGGGAGGGGGCTGGGGGCGCGGCTGAGGCGGCTGTGGCTGTGGCGGGCGCCGCGCCTGTCGCGAAGGAGACCCCGCCGGAGGACGAGGAGGAGGAGGAGGCGGCGGAGGCCGAGGTAAGGGGCGGCGGGGAAGGAGGGGGTCGGGGCCGGGCTTTCCTCTGGAGGAGGGCGCGGAGCTGCCGGGCGGGAAGCCCCGGGGCGCTCGCCTGCCGCCTTCCCCAACCTGGCGCCCGCCAGACGCGTTGCGAGCGGCTCCCGCTCTCCCCTCCCCCAGCCTCAGCACCTCTCCCTACCTGGGAGTCGGTGGGCGGGGTGATGGGAGTTGTAGTCCAGAGCTCTAGGTAGCCTTAGGTGTGTGGTGTGTGTGTGTGTGTGTGTGTGTGTGTGTGTGTGTGTGTGTGTGCTGCAGCTGTCCCCAACCTGGCGCCCACCAGAGGTGTTGCAATGGGTTCCCGTTCTTCCCTTCCCTCCCCCAATACGTCCCCCCCACCCGTGCCATGTCGGTGGGGAAGGTGATGGGAGTTGTAGTCCAGAACTCTCTAGACAGCTGCAGGTTTGGGGGGGGGGATCTGCTGCTGCTGTCCCCAACCTGGCGCCCACCAGAGGTGTTGCAATGGGTTCCCGTTCTTCCCTTCCCTCCCCCAATACGTTCCCCCCCCCACCCGTGCCATGTCGGTGGGGAAGGTGATGGGAGTTGTAGTCCAGAACTCTCTGGACAGCTGCAGGCTTGTGGGGGGGGGTCTGCTGCTGCTGTCCCCAACCTGGCGCCCACCAGAGGTGTTGCAGTGGCTTCCCGTGCTCCTTGCCAGACCCCTCTCTTTGCTGTGGTGTGAAAAGGATGGGAGTTGTAGTCCAGAGCACTAGACATCCCCAGGTTTTGGGGGACGGAGGGTCTGCAGCTCTCCCCAGCCTGGCGCCCACCAGAGGTGTTGCCGTGGGCTCCCGGGCTCTCCTGCCCTCATGTCCCCTCTTTGCTGCAGTGGGAGCTGTAATTCAACCCACCAGATTTTATTCATTTATTTATAGCCCACCTTTATTATTTTCACAAATAACTCAAGGCAGCAAACATATCCAACGCACTTTCCTCCTATTTCCTGCACAACAACAACCCTGTCAGGTTGGTTGGGCGGAGAGAGAGGGAGACTGGCCCAAAGTTAAGGCGGGACTAGAACTCCCCGTCTCCTGGTGATTGGCCCAAAGTCACCCAGCCGGCTTTCATGCCTAAGGCGGGACTAGAACTCACCGTCTCCTGGTGATTGGCCCAAAGTCACCCAGTCGGCTTTCATACCTAAGGCAGGACTAGAACTCCCCGTCTCCTGGTGATTGGCCCAAAGTCACCCAGCCGGCTTTCATGCCTAAGGCGGGACTAGAACTCACCGTCTCCTGGTGATTGGCCCAAAGTCACCCAGCCAGCTTTCATGCCTAAGGCAAAACTAGAACTCGCTGTCTCCCAGTTTCTAACCTGGTGCCTTAACCACTAGACCAAATTGATAGGCCACAATTGTTGAGGGCAGCACACACTGCCTCCTTTATACAGTGCTTTTAGTCATGGCTTATATAGTAAAGAGCATCGCCCTCTGATCCTCCCTAGTCTTTTGGGGAGTAAACCTTGAGCGCTGCTAGAATAAGGACTGTATAATTGCCTTTTCAACCTGCTGCTAAGAAGTCCCTTTCAGTTGCCCACTATATAAAAAAGAAGAAATATTCTTTCTCCCGCCTATCCATCATAACTTTATCAACCTGTTATAATGAAAGTGCTGACTGTTACATTCAGACATACTGAAAAGCTGTGGATTGTTGATATAAGGCTGAGACGAGACAAGCCTTCAAGTTCCATGTTCCCCTACCTGCCAAACATGACTACGAGTTTTTGTATTTGTTTTCTTTTTTTCTTTTAATTAACTGCTGGTTTGAGGTATGTCCATACTTAGAATTGTGGCTAATCTGGGCCTTTGGGATTTTTCAAAGCCAGCCTGTATCATGTCACTCAGCTGTGGGTTATCATTATGCACAAAGACAGTCTTAGCGCTGGGAGGGGCCATGTTATCGTAATCCTATTAATATGCAAATGTACTCCTTGCACAATTGAGGTTTCCAGGAAGCTCACTTTAGACTGCCTGAGTTGGAATGAGAGGAGGTTTGAAAGTGTTCATAAATTTTCTTTGGAAATTAGTTTCTCTCTCGCAATGTACCTGCATCTGGAGTGCAGGAATGTAGCTATTTTGTAGGTGGTTTTATGTACAGGCAGCCCTCACTGAGTGACTGGTGACTTAGCAATTGTGCAAAGTTGTGACATGTTCCCCCACCCCCACAAAAAAGATAGTTATGACCAGATTTTGAAATTCTGATGGTTGCAATCCCCACCCCCAATTGCAACCGTCAGAACTTCAAAATCTGTCATAACTACCATTTGGGAGTGGGGCTGTTTGACTTTGCATGATGCTCACGCGATTTCATTTTGAGCACTTGGCAACCGTGGGGATGCTGTAGTGATTTTAAGTGTGAGGACTAGTTTAAAAGTGATTTTTTTTTCCAGTGCCATCATAAGTTCAAACGGTCACTAAACTAATGGTCATAATTCAGGGACTACTTGTAATTTAAGCATGTTTCAAGTAGTGTTGTAGACCTAAAGAGCTTTATTAGCTGTTACCATTGTGGCCATTAGATGGACACTTTTCATTCCCGCATGCATTGAGTTGCCTTTGTAGTTTTAAAAAAACAACAACTGTAAATCGGGAACAAGCCTCAGTGTTAACAGGATTGCTTATGACCTTCCAATCTAGTTTCACAGAACATTCAAGAGAGTCACGGGAAATTCTTGATGAATCGGTCTTTCTTAAAATAGCAGAGGAGTTATTTTATTGCCGCCGGAGATGGCATATTTAATTTTAGCAAAACATCCTATTGCTCTTTTGGAGGGTCTGTTTTGCTAAAGCTATGCATCTTATCTCGGTGGAGCTAAGTGTTTCTGTGCTGGCAGAGGAGCAGCTAAAACAAAAGCAAACAAAACACACACACACACACACAAAGGGAATTATTCTTCCATCCTGCTTTGCAGTTTGGGTTTCTCATCACATCGGGAAATTCTGCTCCAATAATGATTCCCACCCCCCCACCCCCATGTATTTCCGCCCTTAATGATCGTGTGGCTTGTTGCCTTTCATCCGTTGACCACGAAGCTCATTCATTATTTATTATCCTCTTATTATCTCCTTGCAGATGGCACTTCACCGGGACCTGTGGTGCCCTGTGGTGTTTCTAAATTAAAATTGGGACGGTTGGGAAGAAAAGTAAACTTATCGGGAAGGCAGAAGTCGCAGACAAAGCGAAAGGTGTGCCCTAAAGCGCAGCGATGGCAGAGGGTGGGGATGTCAGGGGCCTTATATTTGCCTTTAAAGAGTAGGCCTCGGTTTCGTTAACACTCGTTATTACATCTGAAACTCCCAATTGCTTTTTTGATGGGGGGGGAGGAGGAGGAGGGGAAGATGGCGGACAGACACTTGATCTCATAATTGCCAGCTGCAAGAGTTTGCTTGTTACTTCTTGCCAGCCCCTCTTTGAGATCTGCAAATTCGCTGTAGGTTGTCCTTGATGTACATCCATTTGTGTGCTGACTGAAATGACAAACGGCCCTGGAAAAAGGGACCATTTGCCACCATTTTTCGCCTTGACCGTTGCAGCGTCCCTGTGATCACACGGTCAAAATTCAGACGCTTGGCAACCGGCATGCATTTGTGACGGTTGCAGCATCCCCTCCGGGGTCACGCGATCCCCTTTTGGGGATCTTCTGACCGGCAAAGCCAGCTTCACTTAACAACCGTGTTATTAGGTATAACTGCCCACAATTCGCTTAACAACAAGAAAGGTCACAAAGGGGGCGTAAAACTCACTTAACTGTCTTGCTTTAGCACTGGACGCTTTGGGCCTCAATTGGACTGCCTGTCTTTTGTTCTCCTCTAGGGCTGATTTCTACCTCCCAATGTATGGACAAGAACAAGTTTTTGCCACTGTTAAAAGTAAAAGGTCGTCCTTCATTTGCATTGGTTTCTTGAACTGGACTGCCGAATATTGTGTGTGCATTCAGCCACCCCACCTCCCGTTTTTATTCTAATAATTGCACTTAGACTCCTATACTGCTTCGTAGGGCTTTACACCCCTCTCTAAGCGGTTTTCCTGGAATTACAGCAGCGTGTAGAACGGGGGTCTTCAAACTTGGCCCTTTTATGACTTCAACTCCCAGAATTCTTCAGCTAGGCACGCTGGCTGAGGAATTCTGGGAGTTGAAGTTCACAAGTCATACAAGGGCCAAGTTTGAAGACCCCTGTTCTATTGGTACTTGGGTTCTAGAGCAGGGGTCTTCAAACTTGGCCCTTTATGACTTGTGGACTTCAACTCCCAGAATTCCTCAGCTAGGCACGCTGGCTGAGGAATTCTGGGAGTTGAAGTCCACAAGTCATACAAGGGCCAAGTTTGAAGACCCCTGGTATAGAAGAAAGACATTTCTGACTAAAGATTTTTCTGCATATCTTTCTTAGAGTGCAATGCCAGAACAATTGGTGGACATGGGGGGGGGGTTGGTCTTTTTGTTTTCCCCTGCCCTGGGCTGTGATCCCATTCTGCTCGGACTATACAGGAACCGACTATTTGCCTAGCATGAAGAGAAAGTGTCAAAGATGTTTTCAAAGAAAACGTGGCAGGGCGAGAGGCAGAAAGCGTCTTGCGTCCACCTACGATAAAGTCATTTCTGATGCTGATTTGGGCTGGGTTTTATACAAGGAAGTCATTCCCTTTGCAAAGAAATCTCGGCATTCAGCAAAAACGTGAACTCTGCCTGGGTTTCCCCCCAGTCTGCTTTCATTTTTGCGGCTCCTTGGAGCAGACTGAGGGGGCCCAAGAATTTAATTCTCCAGGCCAATATTTGTGTTTCAGATTCTGCGAAGGCTTTGTCTGGAGCCGCGTCCATTCAAACTCCTTCCTCCACCCAGCCATGTTAACAACAGGATGAAGCTGGAGGCAGTTGTGGAACAGCTGCAGAAGCAGCAGCAGCAGCAGGTGGCCCCTCTGCCCATGGAGTCCAGAGACCGGCCCCAGAGGCAGGTGAGAGAGACTCAGCTGCAGTTCCCCCAACAGATGACGGTCCAGCAAGCTGGCCTGGCTGCCACATCCGGCAAAGTTTCCGGTGGGCCCATCCTCGGACCTTCAGCCAGAGTGCCCCCTGTCCTGGGGGCTTCTCGGACATTTGATCAGAGTGCTCTGAACTCCGAGGAAGAGGAGGAGGAAGAGGAGGAGGAGGAGGAGGAGGAAGAAGAAGAAGAAGAAGGTGAGGAAAATTCAGAAGATGGTGATCTGGAGGACAGTGCTCCCAGAACTGGCCAGGATGCGCGATCCGCTCTCAAATACTTTCACGCTTCCAAAGTGGTTTCCCACAACCAAAGAGTGACTCCTTCCTCTAAGCTTCTCCCAGTTCTGGGGGTCCAGCGGAACCTCCAGGGAAAGGACGAAGTGGGGAGAGACGCCCCCAACTCGCTCTATTCCGGCCCCTCCTCTGGAAGACCAACGTGGAGGCTGGATGAGCAGCTCAAACAGGTCAGTCACACACACACACCGGGATGCAATTGAAGCTTGCAAGTTTGGATTTTGTCGTGTCGTGTTAGATGTGGCTCTTCCTTAGGTTATGCAGGGAAAGCCGTGCACCATATTTGGGCGTTCGTTTCCTTTTTTTTTTCTAGACCGGCAGTCCTCGACTTACGACAGCAGGGGAAATCCGCCCCCCAGATTTTTGTTGCTAAGCGAGACGATGGTTAAGTGAGCTTGGCCCCATTTGACGAGCTTCCTTGCCGCCACAGTTGTTAAATGAGTCCCACGGTTTGTTTGTTTGTTTGTTTATTTATTTATTTATTTATGAGACTTATATACCGCTTTAAGTGCAAGCACTCTCTAAGCGGTGTACACCAGTAAGCAATGTATATATATATTTACATTGCCCCCAACAATCTGGGTCCTCATTTTACCTACCCCGGAAGGATGGAAGGCTGAGTCAACCTTGAGCGGGTGAGATTTGAACCTCTGACCTGCTGAACACAGTCAGCTAAAGTGGCCTGCAGTACTGCACCCTAACTGCTGCGCCACCTCAGCTCATCAGATTTTGTCCAGATCAAGATATAAACTCGTAAAGCAGTAAAAAGTGTGTAAAATTAAACGTGAATGCTTCAACCTGGCTACTTTGCATAAGCAGACTTGTATCCAAGTACAAGCTGGCCTGCAGTACAGTTGTTAAGTGAATCTGGCTTCCCCATTGATTTTGCCGGCCAGAAGGTCGCCATAAAAGGGGTCACATCACCCCAGGATACTGCGACCCTCATAACTATGAACCAATTGCCCAGCATCCAAATTTTGATCACGTGACCGTGAGGCTATTACAACGATTGTTGTGAAAAAATGTCCCTGAGTCACTTTTTTCAGGGCTGTCATTTTGAACGGTCACTAAATGAACCGTTGTAAGTCGAGGACTAGTTGTGTGCCGCTTTTCACCAAGGAGTTGGTCTCCTTGTTTTATTTTTTCAGGCAGGCCCCTGCAAGGTACAGTAGTGGCCAAAATTGTGGAAACCTTTTGCTTTTTGGAGTAGTACCGTAAAATTATATATCAAGGAAAAGATAATTTAATCAAGAATGTAACGCAACAAAGTTTGTTCAGTTATCTGTACTGTATTCTATGAACAGTTATAGCCAAATAACCAGAAAAAGGAAGCACAACTTGCTCAGGTTGATCTCAGGTAGCTCATTGTAGCCAATGAGCACGAGTGTTTAGAGAGCCAATCGGGTGTCATCTTGTTTTGGTCATGAGCCAATCAGATCACAATAGGATTCAGTGATTGATGTCATGTTTTGAAGCTGAAAGGAGGACATTTGTCAGGGTGTTATGTGATGGCTATCAAGTTGGTTGGAGGTTGTTTTTTTTTTTCCTTTCATTTAGTGAGCTTGTAAAACGTAATAAAATTAAAATAATGGTGCAAAGAGTTGACTGGTCACCCAGAAAGCGATGTAAAATAGTATTGTTAAGTGAACAAAGCTACAGTTATAAAGAAATTAGAAGAAAAATGGGTGGAAACCTAACCCAAAGGTGGCATTTCTAGGATACACTTTCCCCAAGAGGTTTCCACAATTTTGGCCACTGCTGTAGTTGGGCGAGAAAGACATCCAGTGGAATCCTTTGGCGAAGCAAAAAACAGGGTCAGAAACCTTAATCAGCCTTTGACTGCAGCCGAGCCTTTGATAATGGTGAGCTTTGGGAAGTGAGCATCTCTTTCCTAAGTCCTCTCCTCTTCCCCCCCCTTCTTCCCCCCCCCATCAGCAGCAGGTCCTTTGCACTTTTTTTTTTATGAGCAGAAGCAAAAGTGAGAAACATTTGGGGGCTCCTGACTGCCGCTGTGAATTAGGCAAGGGGAAATGCGCATGGAAGAAAGGAAGAAAGAAAGAGAAAGAAAGAACAAAAGAGAGAGAGAGGAAAGAAAGAGAGAAAGGAAGGGAAGAGAAAAAGGAAGAAGAAAGAAAGAAAAAGAAAAGAAAGGGCTTTCTATTTATACAGATCCCTGGAAGCCTCTCCTGTTTTCCCTCACAAGTTCTGTTTGCAGTTCACACCCACAGCTTCAGTGTGGCCGGCCTTGTGCTTTCAGTGGCCGAAAGAGCCTTTGAAGTGTTGCAATTAACAAGCAGGCCGGGTGATGCAACTGGAAAGAGTATTTTGCTCCTCCTCTGTGCAATTAGGCCTTTTGGTGCACTCAATTCCGAAATCTGTGAGTGCACCGGTCATATTTACTACCACGTTTCTGAGTTGTGTACCGCCTGCACGTTGCTGCGTGCAAAGGCCAAGGGGTAATTATGTTGGACTCTTAACAGCAAATTTAAAGAAAAACAAAGCCACTTTTTCTGGTGCTTGAGTGCATAATTTGCATCCCCTTTGGTGGGGTTCCTTGCTTCTTGCGGTGTCTAGTGCTGTGAGTGACTTTTTTTTTTTTGTGGCTGTGAGGCTTCCCTTAAGTACCTAAGCAAGCATTTACTGCAGGGGTCCCCAACCCCCGGTCCATGGATCGGTACCGGGCCGCAGCATGCACAGCATGAGCCGAGGTGGCGCAGCAGTTAGAGTGCAGTCCTGCAGGCCACTTTAGCTGACTGTGTTCAGCAGGTCAGCGGTTCAAATCTCACCGGCTCAAGGTTGACTCAGCCTTCCATCCTTCCGGGGTAGGTAAAATGAGGACCCAGATGGTTGGGGGCAATGTAAATATATATATATATACATTGCTTACTGGTGTACACCGCTTAGAGAGTGCTTGCACTTAAAGCGGTATGTAAGTCTCATTCATAAATAAATAAATAAATAAACCGGTCCGCACAAATAAGTAAAACCCCATCCCTGGGATGCAGGCAGCACACAGAACCGCTCTCTAGTGCCCAAAAGGTTGGGGACCTCTGATTTACTGGACTATTGTTAAAATGCTCTATTTAAAAGGTAACTGAACTGGCTTGATTAATTGATGGCAAGCCAAGGATTCTAGGAAGACTTTCACAGCTCCTTTTCAGAAAATCAACCGGGCTGCTGTTCCTTCTACCAATTTCCCACAGTATTTCAAGGCGCTGTTGTTTTTTTTTTGCGCAGTCTCTCAGATGCCGAGCACACGGAGGGACTGGCTTTTGAGAGCGGGCGCTTCAAACGTCTGTTTTAATTTTTCCAGGATATATTTGCCCTCGCTTTGCAATGAATGTCTTCTCTTTCGCACTCGGACTCCGGAATGCAGCCCCTGAGGAGTTAGGCTAAGCCAGGGGTAGGCAACCTCGGCTCTTTTATGACTCATGGACTTCAACTCCCAGAATTCCTTCTTCCCTCCCTCCATAGCTGACTCAGGAGTTCTGGGAGTTGAAGTCCATGAGTCATAAAAGAGCCGAGGTTGCCTACCCCCTAGGATAAGCCCTCTGCTCTTGCTCCCTTTCAGAAATCTGTAAAAAGCCAGGCCTTTAAAAATTAATTTGATGTGCAAGGTTTTTTTTTTTAAATTCTGTACCTTTAAAACACACACACACACACACATACAAGTTGCCTTAGAACAGTGGTTCTCAACCTTTTTAATGCCGCGACCCCCAACCGGTCGTAAGTCGAGGACTACTCAACCGGTCGTAAGTCGAGGACTACTCAACTGGTGCAGCACCGTTTGCAGACTGGGACTTTGGGCGGGCTCAGCAGGGCAGAGACAGCCTGGACAATTCCTCTTGGCTTTTGAAAGCCAATAGAATTAGACTCTATTCAAGAGAGCCTATTCTATTGGCTTTCCAAAGCCAATAGAATAAAAGGGAGTAGCACAGCTAAGGAAAAGGGGGGGGGGGGAATGGCGGACTGCGTTGTTTGGCGACCCCCGTGAAATGGTCGTTCGACCCCAAATGGGGTCCCGACCCACAGGTTGAGAACAGCTGCCTTAGAAGCAGAGGGGGACAGTGTGTTTTTAGTGACCCTTCAAAGTTATCACGGCCGCTGAAAAAAGTGACTTACCATTTTTCACACGTTGCAGCACCTCTCATGGTCACGTGATTTACATTTGGATGCTTGACAGCTGACTCACATTTATGATGGTCGCAGTGTCCCGGGGTCATGTGACCCTTTGACAAATCAATGGGAAAGCCAGATTCACTTAATAACCGGGTTATTAATTTAACTACTGCAGTGATTCCCTTAGCAAACATAGCAGGAAAAGTCGTAAAACGAGGCCGAACTCACTTAACAAATTTCTCGCATCGTCTTTGGCTCCATGGTGGCCGTAAATGGAGGACTCCCTGTACATTTGAAGCAAAATGGTGGCCTGCCACTCAAAGAGACATGAAATTAGCTTGTGTATCGTAAAACATCTGCGGAGGGCATTCAGATCCAGGCGGGCAGGGAGAAGAGGGGGGAGATTAGAATGGAGCAGCCAGCAACATTGTGAGCATTGCCTGAATGCCATTTTCATGGAGTTAAAAGAGGATAAGTATATAGTGTATATAGGGGAAACCGAGTTAAAAAAACCCCAAACTATCAATTTTACAATACTTTCTCTGCCATGGTAAATGAGCAGGCTTTGCACTGATAGCACCGTGGGGAAAAAATAGGAATTGTTTAGTTTCTGGCTCAGGAATTCTGGGAGTTGAAGTCCACAAGTCATAAAAGAGCCAAGGTTGCCTACCCCTGGTCTAGTTAGTAACTTTGAATAATTGTTTCAAAGTTCTACTGCAGTTATTTTCAAATCCCTTTAAGTGTGACCACAAGCAATTGGCAGTTGAATAACAGAGTTGGAAGGGACCTTGGAGGTCTTCTAGTCCAACCCCCTACTCAGGCAGGAGACCCTATATCATTTCAGACAAATGACTGTCTAATCTCTTGTTAAAAACCTCCAGTGGGGGGGGGGAGGGAAGGAAGGAAGGAAGGAAGGAAAGAAAAATAGAAGACTAACATAGTTGGAAGGGACCTTGGAGGTCTTCTAGTCCAACCCCCTGCTCAGGCAGGAGACCCTATACCAGTGATGGCGAACCTTTTAGAGGCCGAGTGCCCAAACTGCAACCCAAAA